GCTCTCCTCAGTGGGGAATGATCCTCTGAAAGGTCACTTTTCCAATACCGTGGCTAGGCATGGAAAACCTGCATCTGAATTTCATCCCCATGCTGTGGTTATTTCTTTACCACATCCCCCACCTGGGCCCTTGTAAGCATATGCACAAGCTCATGGGCAGCATGCATGGGCACTTCACTGCCAAGTTTAAGCAACCTTCAATCCCTGTTGGAACTAGGAAATAAAACAGAAATAAATGCCAAGAAGTCTTGGATGCTATTTGTGTCCTAGATGATGGCACTGAATCTTAGCATTTGCTTTGGATTACTCCAGGAGATCTCAGGCTGCAAAAGGAATAAAATGTCCAGCAAGAGGGGAGTGGTAAATAAATGACAGTACTCACAACTAGTACAAGGAGAGCTAGTTGCTGAAAAGATTTTCTAGTGACATGGAAAGCATGCAAACAAACAAAAAAGAAAGTAACAAAAAAGCATGTAAAATATACCATTTTAAAATAATCCAATAGATGTGTATGTTTACATAGAGCAAAGATTGGAAGATTATACCTCAAAATTATTATCTATGTTTCTGAGGTGAGCTAAGAAGATCTTTTAAAAATTTTTTTGTGCATTCCAAATTTCTACAATGAACACTTATAGCTTTTAGATTAGGGGAAGAAAAAGAATAAAAAGAAAAATGAAGAGGAAAGCATATGGCTATTGGGCTTTTATTAAAGAGAAGTAGATGCTAGTTCTTATTCCTCTTGGGGGTGGAAAGGAATGGCCAACAGATGAACGATGAGGGTCCTCATTTCCAATCATCCAAAAACTAGAAAGGAGGAGACTCAAGTGTGTCTGTCGCTTCAAAAGGCAGGAAGAACAGCATGTTAGAAAATAAAAGCAGATGTGTTTGGGGGAAAAGCAAAGAAAAAATAAGAGTCAGGGTGGTTTAGGTGTGAATTTCAGGAGCTTTTCCTTCTGTGCCTTTAAAACGTGCTGAGAATAGTACTCACCTACCAGTCCTAGACCTGAGTCTAGGAGACAGGTATACCCTATAGTCCAGAGGCCAAGTTCACCAATCTCCGGGAAGATATCCATGACTAATGCACAGTACCTTAGAAAGCATGGGTTTCCAGGTTCCACCTGCAAAGTCATGTGTTTATTTCCAGGAATGAGCTTGGTGTCTTTAGAAACCAATAACTAAAAAGAGAAAGGCACATATTCACTTCCTTACCTTTCTCTTCTCTAACTGGATTCAGACAAAAGGACAGAGACAAACAGACAAAACAGTCCAGCCCAATACAGTCATCACTCTCCACACTTTCAAAGTCATCAAAGATTAGTGAGATCTTCTCTGCAGTGCTCCAGGCTGGGCGGCCGGCCTCACCGCCCAGTGGGGAAGACATATAAGGAATTTGCATAAGACAGCTGTGCAAAATGAAGCAGGAGGAGCTTAATTTGTGCAGAGAGATACTCCTGAGAATAACCCAGAGGCTCCATTTGGTTTCACACCAGAAAACTGTAAGAGGATAGAGGCAATTGTAAAAATCTATCCAGAAGGGCATAAAGCAGCAGCTGTGCTTCCAGTCCTGGATTTAGCCCAAAGGCAAAGTGGGTGGTTGCCCATCTCTGCTATGACAAGGTTGCAGAAGTTTTACAAGTACCACCATTGAGCATATATGAAGTAGCAACTTTTTGTACAATGCATAATTGAAAGCTGGTTGGAAAGTATTACATTCAGGTCTGCACTACTACACCTTGTGTGCTTCAAAACTGACAGCATACTGGAGGCCATTCAGAAAAAAGCTTGTAAGAAAGGCTGGGAGACGACACCTGACAGACTTTTCACTCTTATAGAGGCAGAATGTTTAGGGGCCTTTGTAAATGCATCAATAGCTCAAAGAAACTAGTATGAGAATCTGACCCCTAAGGATACTGAAGAAATTATTGATGAGCTTAAGGCAGGCAAAATTCCAAAACCTGGGCCAGGAGTGGATGCTTCTCTTGTGAGCTAGCTGGAGGTCTTACCTCTTTACATGAACTACCTGATATGCCTAGCTTTGGTGTGCAAACAGGCCTTTAATTTACATGCAACTGTAAATATATCACTGGATAAATAAAATATGCACTTCCTATCTATATTAAAAAAAATTAGTGTGGATAACATGAATATTTTCCTTAAGAGGCTGCAGCAGGAACAAGCATTAAGTAGGGGGGGTGGGAACTTCTACATTCAAGTGATAAGTTTGGTGCTTGGGAAAGCTGAGAGGCCGAATACAGCTATCCCAGGGAGGAGTCCTCAGCAGGTCGCCTCCTGACAGTCAATGACAGTTCCTGGAAGGGAACATGCCCATGAATTATTGCAAACATCAAGAAGTGTGGGTCTCAGTTTTATTGGATAGCCAGAGAGCAAAGGGGAAAAATAACAACAGACACCAACAATCTGGTGCAGTGGGGCTGGAGGGGGCAGCACAAGGCATGTGGGCAGCTTTCTGTGTCTGTCTGGAAAGGCACCCAAAAGGATGGTGTTGACTTCAGACACATCCAGGCCTTTTTGATTTAGGAATAACACTGTAGAATTAACTTTGATCTGGGTACTATACTACAGCCACAAGATTCCCAGGACTTCCTGGCCTCAGGAAGAGGAATCCTGAGGAGCGAAAAATACACATTTATGCTTCCAGCCTCAGGGGATGGCATTCGAAAGGACTGACGTGGAAGGGAAAGAACCAGGAGGTGAGCCATCTGCACTAGAGACCATGGGGTTGTCCGCGGGGAAACCTGGAAGCTGCCTTTCTGGGAACATGCTCTCCAATGTCATGGACGTACCTCAAATATCTCTTTAACTTGCCCTTCACTTAATGGTTCATTTTAAATCTAACATCTAAAAGTGTATCTAACCAAACATGGAGAGAATATGATCACTTCAGAAAGAAACCATGCCAAAACCACACACTCTCTGTCTCTCACACGAATTCCATAAACTCAGTCTCCACTATATACTCTTTTCAAGCAGCAAAACAGCATCATATAAAGCCTTATTCCCCTTTATCTTTATAAATTTTCAGATGAAAAGAAATCTTTAGCTTGGATGCCACTGTGTGTGAGTGGAAGTGTGGGTGTGAGTAGGGTGTACAGAAATGGTGATTTTCTTTTGATTGGTTTTGCATTCCCTTAGCTCACCTGGAAGTTGGCGTGGGTATGTGAATAAATACTTTTGGTTTTTAATAATTGTGAGTAGGGTGTACAGAAATGGTGATTTTCTTTTGATTGGTTTTGCAATCCCTTAGCTCACCTGGAAGTTGGCGTGGGTATGTGAATAAATACTTTTGGTTTTTAATAA